CATGAGATAGCTTTGGCAAATAGGGTTAAGGAGAATCCAAAGGGATTCTACAAATATGTTAAGGACAAAAGAGTAACTAGAGAGAGGATAGGGCCCCTTAAAGATCAGCAATGCTGCCTATGTGTGGAACTGAGGGAGACTGGGGAGATACTAGATGAGTATTTTGCATCAGTGTTTCCTGTGGAGAAGGATATGGAAGTTAGAGAACGTGGGGAAATAAATAGCGACGCCTTGAAAAATGTCCACATTATAGAGGTGATGCTCGATTCCTTAAAATGCATAAAGGTGGATAAATCCCTAGGACTTGATCAGGTCTATCCTAGAACTCTGTGGGGAGCTAGGGAAGTGATTGCTGAGCCCCTTGCTGAGATATTTGTATCATCAATAGTTGCAGATGAGGTGCCGGAAGACTGGAGGTTGGCTAACATGGTGCCACCATTTAACAATAGTGGTGAGGAAAATCCAGGGAACTATAGTTCAGTGGCCCTGACATCAGGGTGGGCAAATTATTGGAGGGAATCCTGAGGGACTGGATTTACATGTACTGGGAAGGCAAGGACTGATTAGGGATAGTCAACATCGTTTTGTGTGTGGGAAATTGTGTCTCACTAACTTGATCGCATGTTTTTGGAGAAGTAACAAAGAGGATTGATGAGGGCAGAGCGGTGCACATGATCTATATGGACTTCAGTAAGGCATCCGACAAGGCTCCTCATGGTAGACTGGTTCGCAAGGTTAGATCATATGGAATACAGAGAATACTGGCTTGAAGGTAGAAGACAGAAGGTGACGGTGGAGGATTGCTTTTCAGACTGGAGGCCTATGACCAATGGTGTGCCACAAGGATCGGTACTGGGTCCACTGCTTTTCGTCATTTATGTAAATGATTTGGATGTGAACATAGGAGGTAATGTCAGTAAGTTTGCAGATGACACCAAAATTGGAGGTGTAGTGGACAGTGAAGATGATTACCTCAGAGTACAATGGGATCTTGAACAGATGGGCCAATGGGCTGTGGAGTGGTAGATGGAGTTTCATTTAGATAAATGTGAGGTGCTGCATTTTGGAAAGGCAAATCAGGGCAGGACTTATACACTTAAGTTCTGAGGATTGTTGCTGAACAAAAAGTGAAGGTTCATAGTTCCTTGAAAGTGGAGTCCTAGGTAGATAGGATAATGAAGAGGTCATTTGGTAGGCTTGCCTTTATTGATCAGTGCATTGAGTATAGGAGTTGGGAGGTCATGCTGCGGCTCTGCAGGACACATTGGTAGGGCCACTATTTGAGTCCTGCATTCAGTTCTGGTCTCCCTGCTATAGGAAGGATGTTGTGAAACTTGAACGGGTTCAGAAAATATTTACAAGGATGTTGCCAGGGTTGGAGGGTTTGAGCTATAGGGAGAGGCTGAATAGACTGGGGCTATTTTACCTGGAGCATCGGAGGCTGAGGGGTGACCTAATAAGATGTTTACAAAATCAGGAGAGGCATGGATAGGATAAATGGACAAAGGTCTTTTCCCTGGGATGGGGAAGTCAAAAACTAGACAGCATAGGTTTAAGGTGAGAGGGGTAAGATTTAAAAGGGACCTAAGGGGCAACTTTTTCATGCAGAGGGTGGTGCATATACGGAATGAGCTGCCAGAGGAAGCGGTGGAGGCTGGTACAATAATAACATTTGAAAGGGATCTGGATGGGTATATGAATAGGAAGGGCTCAGAAGGGTATGGGCCAAATACTGGCAAGTGGGACTAGATTTATTTCGGAAATCTGGTTGGCATGGATGAGTTGGTCCGAAGGATCTGTTTTCACACTGTACAGCTCTATGACTGAAAAGTAATATTACTACATGATATATAAAGCTGTATTAAAAAAATGGCAATTACGTCCTAGCTTCCAACACTTTTAAGGCTTTGAATCAAAGTAAAAGTATGGCCAGGTCTCAAGATTTTTTAAAAAAAATCCATTATAGGATCCATAAAAACAGATTGACTGTCATGGTGTTTCACAGATATTTAGTCGTAAGAATCAGGAGGTATTTTTTTTAAATTTTAACATGGGACGTGCAGTAGTGGCAAGGCCAAATTGCCAATCCTCAACTACGCTTGAACTGATTGGTTCTTTAGGACATATCAGAGGGCAGTTACTGGTCAATGACATTGTTGTCACTCTGGACTCGCATGTAGACCAGATCAGGTGAAGATGGTGGTTGCTACCCGAAAGGACATTAGTGAACCAGGCGAGATTTTACGACCATTGATAACGGTTACAGAGTAGCTCTTAATTCCAGATAAAATACTGGTGACATTGAAAAGGAACAATCAGCTCTAGATTTTAAGAAAGTCAAAAGAACACCAATTGTTTTTGCTCATTCATTGGACATAGGTATTGCTGGCTGGCCAGCATTTATTGCCTGTCCCTCGTTGTCCTTGAGAGGGTAGTGGTAAGTTGCGTTCCTGAACTGCTGCCATCCAGGTGCTGTAGGGTGACCCGCAATGTCCTTTGGATTTTTGCCCAGTGACAGTGAAGAAACACTGATATATTTCCAAGTCAGGATGGTGAGTGACTTGGAGGGGAACTTGCAGGCTGTGGTAATTCCCATGAATCTGCTATCTGTGTCCTTTTAGATGGAAGTCGCCACAGGCTTGGAAGCTGTTGCTAAGGATCTTTGGTGAGTTTCTGTAGTGCATCCTGTTCTGAGGAAGGGTCACCGGACCCGAAACGTTAACCCTGTTTTCTCCTCCACAGATGCTGCCAGACCTGCTGAGCTTTTCCAGCAACTTTGTTTTTGTTCCTGTAGATACTAATCATTGGTGGAGGGAGTGAATGTTTGTGGATATGGTGCCAATCAAGCAGACCACTTTGATCTAAATGGTGTCAAGCCTCAAGTGTTGTTGAAGCTGCACTCAACCTTCCATCCATGAACTCCATTTACACGGCTCGTTGTCACAGAAAGACTGCCAACATCATCAAAGACGCTTCGCACCCTGGTACTGCTCTCCTACAACCTCTTCCGTCGGGCAGTAAATACAGAGGCTTGAACACACACACCAGCAGCTTCAGGAACAGCTTCTTCCCAGCTGTTATTAGACTGTTGGATGGGCTCTCTAACTTTGAATAGTACTGATCTTGCTAATGTTGATCTTGCCTAGTGCATGGCCTGTGCAACGTAACCTGTATGCTATAAGTTTTTTTTCATCGTATGATCTATATGTCTTTGCTTACTATGACTGCCTGTATTGCTCATAATCAAAGCTTTTCACTGTACTTAGGTACACATGACAATAAATAAACCAAAACAAATCAAATCAGCCAGGCAGGTGGGGAGTATTCCATCACACTCCTGACTTGTGCCTTGTAGATGGTGGACAGGCTTCAGGGAGTCAGAAGGGAGCTACTCACCGCAGTATCACTAGCCTCTGACCTGCTCTTGTTGCCACTGTATTTATATGGTGAGTCCACTTGAGTTTTTAGTCAATGATAACCCCTAGGATGTTTATATTGGAGTAACACCATTGAATGTCAAGCAACGGTGGTTAGATTGTCTTTGATTGAAGGTGGTCTTTGCCTAGCATTATGAAATGCAAATGCTACTCGCCACTTGTCAGCCCAAGCCTTGATATTGTCCAGGTCTTGTTGCATTTGGACATGGACTGCTTCAGTATCTGAGGTGACACGAATGGTGCTGAATATTGTGCAATCATCAGCGAACATCCCCACTTCTGACCTTATGATGGAGGGAAGGTCATTGCTGAAGCAGCTGCAGCTAGTTGGGCCTAGGACACTCCTCTGAGGAACTCCTGCAGAGATGTCCCGGAGCTGAGATGACTGACCTTTAACAACCACAGTTATCCTCCTGTGTGTCAAGTTTGACTCCAATCAGCAAAGAATTTGCCTCCAATTCCCATTGATTCCAGTTTTGCTAGGTCTCCTTGATGCCAAACTTAGTCAAATGCAGCCTTGATGACAAGGGCTGTCACTCTCAACTCACCTCTGGAATTCAGCTCTTTTGTCCAGGTTTGAACCAAGGCTGTACTGGAGCTGAGTGGCTCTGGCAGAACCCAAACTGGGCATCATTGAACAGGTTATTGCTGAGCATACGCTGCTTGATAGCACTGTTGATGACACCTTCCACCACTTTACTGATGATGGAGAGGGGACTAATGGAGTGGTAATTGGCCGGATTGGATTTGTCCTGCTTGTGTGTACAGGACATACCTGGACAATTTGCCACATTGTTGGGTAGATGCCAGTGTTGTAACTGTATTAGAACAGCAGGTGCACAGGTGTCCAGTACTAGCATCATAACCTTATTAGGGTCCACAGCATTTCAAACATAGTCCAATTGCCCAGACAACACATAAATACAGTGCTACAATTCAGGAGGATGGTCGTCTAGAATTTCTTCTGTCAAATGAACATCTTTCTCTGTTTAGTTCACATACGTTTGGTCTGAGACATTTTACAAGTATGTCAGAGGAGACTCCTACTAATCTCACAACTGATCCTATGTGATTTTCTGTGTGCAGAGACTGTGCTGTCTGTGAACAGGCAAATCAGCAAGAGCGCTTTTTTCAAAAAAAGCTAGATTGAAGAATCCTCACTGAGACATGGAGAAGGCATGTTGGAACCAAATACAAAACAACTCATTAAGCTCGAGTGGGAAATTTTCCATGCAAATTTTACAACCAGAAATTGAAATTGGCTGGAACAGAACAAACAGAATTCACTGAGTGAAGAAACTGAGCAAACATCAGCTGAATAAAAATGGCATTAATTACTCTGCAGAATTACCTAACTATGAAAGCAGCATTATGGTGCAAGTTTCTTGGTGTAGCTAGAGAATTCTTTTCTCTGAAAGAAAATTGGGAATATCCGATTTGTATGCAGGCAATTCAGCAAAAGAGGAGGATTGCTGTAATCAACACTTATGATTTAATTGTGCAACAGTTTAGAAATCATATCACACTCAAGTTGACTACAAATAACACAAGTAATAATTTTACCGGTCTCCCTTTGGCTTCCGCTTTTGTACAGTCTTCCCTTTTGGCCGTCTCTCACTGCCTGAACAAGGGGTACCTCCTGGTCCTGTTACCCGTATTGACTCCAGGCCTTTGGAAGATTTTTTGAAGGTGAATTCCACAGGCTCTCCTTCTTTTAAACTCCTGAATCCATCCATATAAAGTTTGCTCTGCGGATCAGAATACAAACAAAGAAATATTTAATATTGTTTTGACTCCAGGTGATGATAATACTGGAGAAGTCAGATCGCAGAATGAAATCTGGCCTTCATAGTTGTTTTTGTTTAAGTAGTTAGCGTGGTGGCTCATCACTGAGTCATATTGACTCAGGACAGTAACTTATCTTTAACAGCAGAACAAAGGTTTATAAAGGAAAACTAGCTTATCCAAATATTAATGACATGTAGAATGATCTCAAAACACATGACAAAGCAATGTTTCAACCCATTTCCTGACATGATCAGTTACAAAGACTTATGTCTGGAGAAATTACATTGCATATCTCAAACACTCAGCACTTAACTGACTTCTTTCATGTTCTTTCCATTGGACTGTGGAAACAATTTAATGAGTCCTTTCTAATGAGAACTTTTCACAAATCTGGCAGCTTAAACTTTCTTAGTTCTAATAATCTGGAGATTTGTGATCAAACTCTCCAGGTTTGGAAGTTTCATAAATTATTCTACTACTATGCTAACTTCACTGAATTCTTGTTCTAGGTGAGAAAGTGAACTGACTTCTAAACTCAATCCAGTTGATTTTGATGTAATGCATGTTTCTTCAATGCGAATTGGTTTTAACGTGATTGAAGAATTATAGAATGCTATTTGTAGAATGTGAACTTTCCTTACCTGTATTGGTTATAACGCGATTCCATCCCCACCACTTCAAATGATGCGGTTATTGTGCGATTTTCTTATAATGCAAGATCGCACGAGAATGGAATGATCACGTTATATCAGAACCGCCTGTATTGGATTCTTCTGAACTCAAATGAAAATTTTGAAATTCAGAAGAAAATTGCATTTAAACTGAAAGCAAAGCTATTGGCCTTACATGTTAACTCTACCTGTTCTAAACACCACTTTATAGCAACACCCTTTCATTAAGACTACAGGAGATTTGCTATCACTTCTTCTCTGACATATACTGAATTAGTTCACTGTTTCGAAAGACTCCCTGATGTTGTTTTCTTGTTTATTTTAAGAGAAAATCCTTCAAAAAGTAATAACCATCCATGTACTAATATTTTGAAATAAGAACTCCAAAACCAGTAATAAATTAAGCATCTTTCATCACCATATATTCATCGCTGCCACTTCAAGTCTGATGCAGAGGAAGAAAATTGAGTAGGATACAAAATAAAGCTTTTGATAATGAGCATAATTAAAGATATGTATAATTCTTTATTTCATCGGGCCTGTAAAACAAATCAAAAACTCAAATGTAAAGGTTTGCAAATATTATTAAAATAACATTACAGCAGTGACAATGCTGCAAACGTGCTTGAATAGTAATAAAGTGAGACAGTACATTTTGATGTCATGAAAAGTGTAAGTTCCTTTATTCTTGTCCATAATGGTTTGGAGTTGTATAAAGAACCAGGTTTTATCTTCAGTCATGCTGATGTAACTAATTTCAGACAAAGCTCTAGACAGGTAGATCATCCAGGAAGATTACCAAACAGGGAAATTGCTGGATTATTACTTGCTGTGATATCCCCATCTGCAGTTCCACCAACGTTCAAGAAAATCAATGCAATTGAGGACAAAGTAGCCAAATCCATCCAGCGTCTTAGACATTCACGTCCTCCATCATTAGCAAACAAAGCCAGCAGTTTGCATCTCATACAAATTGCACTGCAGTAACTTGCCAAGCTTTCTTAGATAGCACATTCTAAAATACATCTTCAGTCATCTTGGGGGACATGGGTAGTGAATGCATAGGAATGCCACGATCTTCAAATTCCTCTTCAACCATATGGCATCCTGATATGGAGCTATATTGCCATTCATTCATTGTCGCTGGGTCAAAATTCTGGAGCTCCCATTCTACATGACGTAACAGAAATGGTTGAAGAAGGCAGATCACCACCTTCTCAAAGTAATTAGAAACATATACTGATGTTGTTAGTGATGCTTAAATCCACTTAAGTATTTAAAAATACTGCATAGCTTAATGAGACTTGGGTTCAGAGTTTTGCGTCGACAAAAGGATAATGATGGAAGTGGCTGAAGTGGTCAAGTGGAAGTGGTTCCAGCTGGCTGACCTTGTCACAATCACTACATGAACATATGAAATTGGGACTTCAGACTATTCAGCCTCTAAATTCAACATGGTCATTGCTGATCCGTTTGTATTTCGAATACCACGTTGCCATCTAACCCTGAAAACCATGATTCCTTTGCTCAGCAAGAATCTATTCACGTTTATCTTAAAAATAGTCAATGACCCTGCCTCCATCACTTTCTGAGGCAGAGTGCCAAAGGTGTACAACTCTCCAAGTGAAAAAGATTCCCATTTCTGTTCTAAAAGTGCAGCCTCTAATGTTCAAACAGAACCCCCTGGTTCAGGATTGACCCGTGACATGAAATATCGTTTCCATATCCATCTTGTAAAGACTACTCAGGATCTTATCCACTTCAAACTTAGAGAAAGGGGTCAACCAGATAGGATGCAGATGAGGAGGAATTTCTTCTCTTAGAGGGTTGTGAATCTGTGGAATTCTTTACCATGAGAGCTGTTGAGGCAGAGTCGTTAACTACATTCAAGGCTGGGTAGAACAAATTTTTAATTGGTGAGGGAATTAAGGGTCATGAGGGAAAAGACAGAAAAATGGCATTGATGATCATCACATCAACTCTAATCTCACTGAATAGCAGAGCAGACTTGATGGGCTGAATGCCTACTTTAGTTCCTATGTCTCATTGTCCCAATGGAGTGGCAGGTGTGATGCCTGGAGGTTGTTTTCAGTTCTATTGTATTTTGAAAAATTCACTTTCAAAGTGCCAGTCCAGTGCAGTGAGGCTAGCCCTGGCTACAGGACTGCCTCAGTGCCTTCACCCTTGTTTTGGTGGCACCCTGCCTACATTCGGGGACTCCCACTACGCAATTCGAAATCAAACATCCTGTACCACCTTTAGAATGCCAGAATGCAATGCCTTCCAAGAGTATTGGTGGAGGAAAGATGGACGTGAACAGACAAAAAACCAAGACATTTTATGTGCCTTGCTGAAGATGCCCCATATTTTCCCAAATAGCCGCTTCTTAATTTTAAACTTTAACAATACACCTGTGTGCACTAATGGTTTTGGGAGATATACTAAAGATTTAGATGCACTGAAGGTTTTAATTGTAAGATAGTAGTCTGCTGTGTATCATGAAATATAATTTTAAAAAAAAATCTCATCAGTTGACTGTGCAATAACAGAATGCTTCATTCCTACAAGACATGTCCCATGCAAATTTAGATCCATTCATCAGGAAAGTGTGCAATTCTAATGTGAATTGTAGAGACACATCAGTTTTTGGTGATAATAGGAACCTAGGCACCCCATCGTATTAATACATTGATCTAATTCTCCCCTTCTTCCTCAGAAACACATCAAAAATACCAGGATCTAGGCACAATATTTGAAGGGCTAATTACAGCAAAAATAAGGAGTAATGTAACTATTTTAACCTAACCTAACTATGGGCTATTCAACACTTCAATAGAGAACATCCAGACCTCCTTTAAATACATAAAATTCAGCACAAAAGATAAATACATACTTGAAACTAATTAAAACAGATTAAACATGCATTATCCCTAAATTGATTAACTAATCAAATGCAAAATAAAGGGCAAAATATGGCCTTTGCCAATTCTGGAGGAAAGAAGGGGGATAGGGTTCATTGGAAATAATATAGAACAGGCAGAAATAAATTCAAAGAG